ATGATGTATACATCTCAATTTCGAAAAATTGACACTTAAGACTGGTTTTGTGGTCCATGGTCACATATGGCTGTGGGAATCCTCAAGACTCCTTGATCTACATGAGATTGTCTGTGATTGTTGCTTTTCTCCACAGCAGCTGAATGAATATCTGCTTTAATCAAAATCAAAAAGCATTATTTTTTAAATAAGAAATTATTCCTGCAGGTTTGATGCCAGCGTCATTGTCCAGCCAACATGAAATTATAATTTATTTAATCATTTTACACACAGATGGCTGGAAGTGTGTCACAGCAGTTAAAACAAATAAACATGTTTTATCTGTTATTAGACACATTATTCAAGTAGTCTGATTATTAGTGTTGAAATATACAGTATGATTCTGAGCAAAGTACAGAGGGAGGAGCAACAAAACTGCAAAGTCACGGCCTCACAAACAATATGTTTATAATCTCCTTCACACTCTTGATCTTTACTTTCTCTCTCGCAACATACACACATTTACACACTGAAAACCAGGAAGTGTGTGGATTCAAGAGAAACGAAACCTATTTCCCTGCTACACGAGCCTCTGCTTAAGGATCCACACTGTTCTAGTTTGGCTAAAACTGTAGAGGAGCAAATATTTTACTTTTGTTTTCTGTCAAAGCAGGTAAACGTTTTTGTTGTTTTGCGCGTGTAATCGTGCACTTACGGTACGGGTGCTGAGAGCAGTCAAAATGCATGTAAAGAAGCTGTCATACCGACGTTTCCTTTATAATTTGCTTATTTTAACTTTTGTTTTTTATTTTTAGTTTGTAAATACATTATTTTTGTACATAAACGATTATAAATCATTTATTAATGTTTATAAATGTTAATATTAATGTTTATTATTCATTGTTTTTTTATTTAATGTGTGTGTGTGTGTGTGTGTGTGTGTGTGTGTATGGGACATTCCACCGAATGGGTAACATTTCTGTCCCCAGGACATTAAAAGTATAAAAATGTATGAAAATGAACTCTAAAATACATTTTATTATTAAGCAAAGTGTCTTCACATTTAGCTAACTGCAAAATTTAGAATGTATAATTAAAATCATTAATAAAAACTACCTAGAACACTAAAGAAATAGTAGTTGTTGCATGTCCCCACTCCCTGCCTCTATAATTTACCATGAAATATTATGATTAAAATCCTTCTGAAATGTTTTATTTTTTGCATTTATGTGTGACTTTATATCCAATCAATGATTTCCTTTTTTTCAAAAGAAAAAAAAATCCATAACATTTTTGATAAAATACACTTTTTATTCGTGTCCCCCGGGTTTACACTCAGTCCTGTTACCCTAACACATTCCCCCCTCTGATCAACTTGGAACTTTCCAAAATATATTTTTTCAACAGCAAGTTGCATTATCCAGATCTTCTGAAGGCAATGGGGAGACTAAAGGTAAGTCCTCTCATTTTCTTTTCAATATATTTGATGATATTTCAACTGTGTCTGAGAGGGTCAATCTCAACATACTGCCCTGTTACCTAAATTATTTTTAGATGTTATTTGTTCATTTTAAAAATACACATTTTTGATAAATCACTAGAATTTGCTCAGTATCCTCATGCTATTAGCATGTGTGCCATGTGGCTATTTAGCATTCTCTGGTCCATTGATATAATAGTGTGAATATTAGTTTATGTAATATGATTTACTTGTTCTTTTTATGTTTTACAGTTACCATTACTTATATTGTAAATGTATCATATGTACCATGTATTTACCATACTTGCAGAGTGCTAATCCACCACAGAGAAGCAGCGCCTTTATCGTGAACGACGTGATGCAGACCCAAGAAACAGACACAACAATCAAGTTGTTTTTTGTCAGTGAGGAATCAATTGAGAGTAAAAATATTTAAAAATTAATACAGTATTAGTCAGTGTCAATGTGAACAGGAATCAATTGAAAGAACGAGGAAACCTATAAAAGAAAGATTTGTATGTGTGTTTGAAAATGGGACGTGATGTAAAAGTGCTTATGCACTCAGATGCGTGGGGTGAATTTGCCTTTTAATTCTCTCCAAAACTGACTTGTAAATTAATACAGTAATAGTCAGGGTCACTCTGAATACATATCAATTGAATTAATATTAACATTTATAAACATTAATTATACAAAAATAATGTATTTACAAATTAAAAATAAAAAACAAACGTTAAAATAAGCAAATTATAAAGGAAACGTCGGTATGACAGCTTCTTTACATGCATTTTGACTGCTCTCAGCACCCGTACCGTAAGTGCACGATTACACGCGCAAAACAACAAAAAAGTGCGGCTGGCTTGACCGCAGAGAAACGAAACCTATTTCCCTGCTACACGAGCCTCTGCTTAAGGATCCACACTGTTCTAGTTTGGCTAAAGCTGTAGAGGAGCAAATATTTTACTTTTGTTTTCTGTCAAAGCAGGTAAGAACTTAATAGAATCCTTAAATAATCATTTTACCCATGTCTTTTTGCTTGTGGTAAAAAAAGAGCATTCAGTTATTATTGTACGCTTGATAATTATATGTTAGTCTGTATGGTGTATGTTTATTCTTTTGGTTACAAGTGAAGCATTTCGTATTATTGTTTACTACACAAAGCTGTAAGCAAATTGTAGATTTGTAGACGTGCTTTTTCATTAATGATTTACATGTGGATTTATGTTCTCTTTTTTGATTTACTTCTAGCAGAGCAGTTTCTATTAGAGGTATAAACTATCTGCAAAGAAATGGCCGAATCTGCAGCGTGTCAGTATGAGGATCAGTTCATCTGTTCAGTCTGTTTGGATCGGCTGAAGGAGCCGGTGACGATTCCCTGTGGACACAGTTACTGTATGAGCTGCATTACTGACTGCTGGGAGCAGAAGGAGCAGGAGCCGCCGTACCGCTGTCCCCAATGCAGAGAGAGCTTCAGTCAGAGACCTCTACTGAAGAAGAACACTCTGATAGCAGAGATGATGGAGACGCTGCAGAAGACGTCTCTACAAACGGCTGCTGTGGAGTGTGATGTTTGCACTACAGAGAAGAACAGAGCTGTAAAGTCCTGTCTGCAGTGCTTGGCCTCCTTCTGTCAAACTCACCTGCAGCCTCACTATCAATCTCCTGCGTTTATGAAGCACAAACTAGTCGAAGCCTCCAGATTCATTCAGGAGAACGTCTGCCTCAGTCATGGGAAACCTCTGGAGATTTACTGTCAGGATGACCGTCAATGCATTTGTTGTTTGTGTATGACTGACAATCATAAAAACCACAATGTTGTATCTATGGATTCAGAATGGACTAGTAAAAAGGTAATGAATGCTTATTAGGCAGGCCTATATCAGTACCTATTCTACTTCTTCCTTATTACCTTTTTATGACATATTTTATTTGATATTTAATGACCACAAAATGAGATTGGCAAGGTGTAACTATATTTCTACTTTTTAACATTAATTTTGTACATTAACATCCTCAGAAAGAGTTAAAGGAGATAAAGGTGGTGTGTCAAAAGCTGACTGAGGAACGAGAAAGAGGTCAGCAGGAAATCAGTGAATAGCAGAGATGATGGAGACGCTGCAGAAGACGTCTCTACAAACGGCTGCTGTGGAGTGTGATGTTTGCACTACAGAGAAGAACAGAGCTGTAAAGTCCTGTCTGCAGTGCTTGGCCTCCTTCTGTCAAACTCACCTGCAGCCTCACTATCAATCTCCTGCGTTTATGAAGCACAAACTAGTCGAAGCCTCCAGAAGCATTCAGGAGAACATCTGCCTCCGTCATGAAAAACCTCTAGATATTTACTGTCAGGATGATGGTCAATGTGTTTGTTATTTGTGTATGATTGATAACCATGATGGCCACAGAGTGGTGTCTGTGGATTCAGAATGGACTAGTAAAAAGGTATATATTTATCTATCAATGAAAAAAAATTTTTTTTAATACAAATAGTGTAAGTAATGATTATTTTTATATTACATAAATGTATAGGCTGTAATTTTGATTCACCTTGTTAAACTTTTTTATCAAACAGGAATGTCTATTTTTACCTTTTGTTTCGTTTTTTTTATGTTAACATCCTCAGGAAGAGTTAAAAGAGATCAAGGTGGCGTGTCAAAAGCTGATCGAGGAACGTGAGAGAGGTCAGCAGGAACTCAGTGAAGCTGTGAAGCTCCTTAAAGTATGTTTTTTTAAGCATTTTTTTTGTTTTATACTTGTATTACAAACGAATGTTGGTTGGAAACACAGATATTTTAAATTCAGGTAGATGGTGACCTGAGGCTTTCAAGCTCCAAAAATGTAAAAAAAAAAAAATAGTTTGGAAGGATTTACTAAAAAGAGCTGAGTCACGACAATGATCTGCGTGATCACAATTTTCTGTCTCCAACAGAGTTCAGCACAAGAGGCCGTGGAGAACAGTGAGAAGGTGTTCACTGAGCTCATCTGCTCTCTGGAGAAGAAACGCTCTGAGATTAAAGAGCAGATCAGAGCTCAGGAGAAGACTGAGATAGATCGAGCAGAGGAGCTTCACAAACATCTGGATCGAGAGCTGACAGAACTCAGAAAAAGACAAACAGAGATTGAGAAACTTCTGATTACTGATGATCAGATCTATTGTCTGAAGGTAATCATTTTTATGTTTGTGTGAGAACCTTCCAAGAGACAATAAATGATCATTGACGCATGTTTGTTCTCTCTCTTATTGAACTGAAAAAATATGTCTGAATTATTTGTCTCATTTCAGAGCTGTCAGTCTGCGTGTGTTTTACCCACATTTGAAGATGTTCCCAGCTTCACTCAACACATTCATCTGTCTTTTAAAGACATTTCAATCTCAGCATTCAGAGAGGTTTTGGAGGACGTCTGTCAACAGCAATCAGCCAGAATATCTCAAGACGGTATTTTTTTTAAAAACAGTTTTTAGTTTAAAAGGTGTTGATTCATTCATAATATTTTAGAATCTATAAATTAGCCATTTGATTGTTACTTCTTTAGTGTCTTCTTTAGGGTCTCCAGAACCTAAAACTCCAAAGGATTTTTCGCAGTGTAAGTCGAGTTTTATACATTCATTCCTCACAGAATTGCTGAATAATCATTAATAATATATGTTAACTATTTAAATTATCTTTTGAAAAATATAAAATAAATGTGTCAGGTTTTGGTTATCATTAAATGTGTCATTTTGAGCAGAGGGTTGGTAGGGGACAGTACTTAATTTGAATATTTATTTGTCCCTCCATCTTTATTAGATTTCTGTGACATTCGCCTGGATCCAAACACTGCACACAAATGCCTCATCCTGACAGAAAAGGACAGAAAAGCTTCATTTTCATATGAAGTCCAGAGATCATATGATCATCCAGAGCAATTTGACTGTTTTCCTAATGTCATGTGTAGAGAGGGTTTGTACGGCCGCTGTTACTGGGAGGTTGAGTGCAGTGGGAACGACTGGTCTGTAGCAGTTTCCTACAGAGGAATTGGTCGTAAAGGACAAAGTAATGACTGCAGACTTGGGTTTAATAACAAGTCCTGGAGACTGACCCACTGTCGCCAGGTATTCTATGTCAGACATGATGATAAACAAGTCCATCTCTCTCCTTTCCATTCCTCTAGAATAGGAGTGTATCTGGATCACAGAGCAGGAACTCTGTCCTTCTACAGCGTCTCTGACACAATGACTCTTCTTTACACATTCCAGACCACTTTCACTGAACCCCTCTACCCCGCATTTGGGATTGGAGAAAGATTTATCAGGATCATAGAGCAGAGGAGAATTCTCAAATCCCACAAATAAAAGACAAGCAAAATTTCCTAAACTCACTATGTTCTTGTGTACTCTGTACGATTAAACCCAAGACTGCAGTTCATCATTAAGACAAATGGTGTCAACTTTAGCTTGTCAATTCGTTTTCATTTTTGTGTGAACTGATTCTCAAAGTAAAGCCTTCTGCTGTGACTTTGCTATTGTGGTTCTGAATCATGATTTTCTATTTATTTATTTTTTTTGTTTGTTGGTGAGGGTTTATATAAACAAATATAACCTCTGTGTATTGTCTTTATATGTTTGTATTATACCCTGCATGAGCATATTATTAGGGCATGTAAATGCGTTCTTCACATTTGCATTCTGCCTTCTTATGGGAAGCAATTATAGCATATACAGTATAATGAATATGGTATGTTATTTTACAGTGTTTTCACTGTTTTCTTGAATGAGATGCATATATAGAGCTTACCTGGATGTCATTTTGTGGCAATTTTGTTTTCCCTGCATATTGCTTTATATGTATTAAATGGGCATGCAAATGTGAATTGTTCTGTTTACATGCAACACATTGCTATAAAAATAAAAGTATTGTATCCATGTAATTGTGCATATTATTTTTCTGTGTACTAATAATACTGTCTGTGTATTGACTTGTCTCAGTAAACGTTTACCTGCTGTTGATATCTGTATCTTAAAGTGATAAACAACAGCATTCAACTAGACAAAATTGACATTCTTGTATAGTAGTAAGCAGCTGTGTCAACAAAAAAAGTAGAACAAGAATTTAATTTGTAACTAACATTTCCAAGGTTCCAAGGAATTATTTTTACCAGTAGCCTACATCTCACACAATGCCAAAAAAGTTTAATTTTGAAAACGAATGACTAGGTTTTGAAGCATGAACTGGGCGGATTACTAAAGTTTGCAGACTTGGAATAAAAAAAGGTTATATACGTATATGCAGCATGTGTATGGAGGACGAAACCTGCAAAAACAATAAATAAATAAATACACAAATAAATAAATAAATGTGTGTATAAATACACAAATTCTTGTTTAAATACATATAGAAATAATTAAACGTGATTAAAGTAGGCAAATAAATAAAATAAATTGGCGGGCAAATGGAAAATGTGTGTGTGTTACCAGAAATGTCCAATAGGTGGCAGTAATGCACTAAAGCCTTTTCAAGTTTGCCACACAAACACAAAAGAACAAACAGAGGATGCGCAGAAGAGAGTGTTACAGGAATACTTTTAAACTGTTCCGCGGATTTAAACTGTTGTTTTTTTAATTCCGCGGATTAAGGCGATCTCCCCGAAAGGCCATTTCGACTGAGGGGAAAAACCGCGGTAAACTAAATCAAAACAAAACCACTATAGGCTAATATTGATTAGCAATTGGCCTGGTTTTGTTTCGCACACCTGGCAACCCACCAGCTAAGTTAAAGCTAAAAGTTATGTTTTTAACGTTCGTGAAAGAAGGGCTGATGTGGAATATTGAAAATCAAAGACTTAATTTTTTGCCTGGTGTGAGATTTACAGAGGTTATGGACATTAACCAGCTCGAGAACTGAAATCCGAATGTAATGAAACGCAGTATGTGACCCGGTTTATTACTAATCACAGTGTAATATGTTAGTAATATGTTTTTTACAGGCTCTTAGTAAGCGTGCACTTCTGTATCATTGCGACGATTTCATTTAAAGGCTTAATGTTAGTAGAAATATAATTTCATTACAAATATAAGAATTGATGTTTGTGTTGCAATGTACATTGTTCGTACTGTAAACTACTAAAGCATTGAATAATCATTTATTTTTTTAACCTCTATTCAGTCTGTTCATATTGTCTATACAGTGAATCTCTAAAATGAAAGTAATTCAGTGTAAATTGTTTCTGAATTTGGTAGATCTGGTGACCATCCCACAACAGTCCACCAGTGAAGGTTAGCAATATTCCCATCATCCTATCAGAAGAGGAACTCTAGCTCTGTAGCATACTATGGTAAAGACTGAGTTTATTAAAGAGGAGATTGATCCAGAAACATCCGGAATGAATCATGAAGATACTGAGGAACGAACAGGTTGGTGTCTGTTCTTGAGTCTTTATTATTGACGGCTGAGAAACATAAAGGTAAAGCTTAAGTTTACCAGATGTAGTGTCAGTGAAATAATAAGCAATATATCAGTGATAAATGATACAGAAAATGCATCATAACTATAGCAGTTGTCATCCACACTTTGATTGTATTATCAAAAATGACAGAACTAACCTTTGGCACTACAAAAATCTGATACTTACAGACCTACTGTTGCTTTCTGCTCTTAAATCAGATTCACTTGAACTGTTTTTAACTATTTAATATGTTTATTTTAGATCGGATGGAGGTGAACGAGCAAAGACAAGAACTAAATGAGGAGGAGGAGTGTCGTAACTTCAAAACTCAAAGAATAAAATCCAAAAAGCGGCACACCTGCTCACAGTGCGGAAAGAGTTTCAGACTTAAATCAGGTCTCAGAAATCATATGTGGCACCACTCTGGAGAAAAGCTGTTTAACTGTGATCATTGTGGTAAAAAATATTCCTCGTTATCAAATCTAAAAGTTCACCTGAAACTTCATTCAGATGAGAAGCCTTATGTGTGTTCTGTCTGTGGAAAGAGTTTCTCTCGACTTAACTGTTGTAATCAGCATCAGAAAATACACAATGAAGTGAGAGATCACGTGTGTTGTGAGTGTGGGAAGAGCTTTACTACAGTTGGACAGCTGAAGCAGCATCAGAGAATTCACACTGGAGAAAAACCTTACAAGTGCTCATACTGTGACAAGAGCTTCTCTCATCCTGGAAACCTGAAATCACACGAGCGAGTGCATACTGGAGAGAAGCCGTACCAATGTACTCAGTGTGGAAAGAGTTTCAAACAATCATCTATTCTCAATTATCACATGCATGTTCACTCGGGAGAAAAGCCATTTAACTGTGATCAGTGTGGTAAAGAGTTTAATTCATCATCAAATCTGAAAAAACACCTGATAAACCATACAAATGAGAGGCCTCATGTGTGTTCTTATTGTGGGAAGAGTTTTCCACTGTTAGTCAGTTGTAATCGGCATCAGAAAATACACACCGGTGAGAAAGATCACGTGTGTAGTGAGTGTGGAAAGAGCTTTACTACAGCTGGCCAACTGAAATACCACCAAAGAATTCACACTGGAGAAAAACCTTACAAGTGCTCATACTGTGACAAGAGATTCCCTCAGTTTTCACAACAGAAATCACATGAACGGATTCATACCGGAGAGAAGCCGTACAGCTGTACTCAGTGTGGAGAGAGTTTTAGACATTCAAACTCTTTAGTGCTTCATATGAAAAAGCATTTTCCATCGAGTCCCATCCATTCCTCCAGTTAGTTAGTTTAGGTGATTTAAAGGCATGACAAATATTCATACATTTAGATCGGCAAAGTGAGTGCAGTGTTTCTGCATTAAAACTGAGAATGGTGCAAAACAACATAAAGAAAAACAAAACATTGTAACTGACAAAGAAACAGGTGGCACTGAAAAATAAAAATGTATAAGTAAAAGTCAATAAAAAATGGGTGCTTCGGCAACATAAAAGCCTTTTACCTATATAAGCATTATTCTGTGGCACTGTGAGCAAATGTTTTCTTCAGATCCTGTGTTTTAATTAAATAATGTGAGATTTAGATAAAGTACATGTGTTAATTGCAATAAACTTGAGTTGTTTAAAATCTGAACAGCTGAAACTATTAGGAGCACTTCATGTGTTCCTGTGAATCGCTTGTATTTCTCAATTGTAAGTCGATTTGCATAAAAGCGTCTGCTGAATGAATAAATGTAAATGTAAAATACCACAAGAATTGTGGAGGTTTTTATTTCTGTTATGTTGGGGGACAGCAAATGTTTCAAATCACTTGAATCTTACATTTTTATTCTTTGACTGAAAGCCCCATCATTAAGGCATGGACAAGAAAAAATACACAAATGAAAAGAAACTGGACACTAATATAACAAAAACCAACAATCAGTCATTTGTCAGTATGAAAGGTTTCTCCAATTTGAGTTTTTGAACTTTAATTCTTAGTTTTTTACTTTGTTTGGACAGTTTTATAAATCTACAGATTTCTGTGCAACAGAAGTTGTCTATAGGCTCTGTATAATGGCTAAATATAATTATCATTGCACTGACAACATGTCTGATTATGTGTAAAATTAAGTATTAAAGGCTAAAAGTAGCCTGATATTGTAGCGATATTATGTTAAATGTGTGTGAATCACGTGACTATACTAAAAAAGAACGTCAAAATTTCGGTTCAGTTTTCTTATGTAGGTTAATTTTTTAATCATGTTAATTAATTTTAATACTTGTTGGTGTATAATACAAAAAGGAGGCAATTTATTTGCTTCTAATTGACTTTGCCGATCCATGACTAATAACACAAAACAAGCGTTAGATATTAATTAATTAATTAATTTATTTAGTAATTTAGCAGACGCTTTTATCCAAAGCGACTTACAAATGAGGACAATAAATAAGTGCAAATGACAAGTCTCGGTTAGCCTAACACAGTACACGTAGCAAGGCGTATATATATATATATATATACATATACATATACATA